TTTTTTTTTTTTTTTTTTTTTTTTTTTTTTTTTTTTTTTTTTCCACACGTTACTACAATTGCTGGGTATAATAGGAGTAACGTCAAGCAGCAGAGGCCGATCAATGGAATAAATTAAAGTTATGTACACAGGACGGTCGACTGTGTGAAATGTGTTGGCACTTAACAAAAAGACAAATCAACGGCCGGGTTGGAAAAACTAAGTCACAAAAAGTGATGTAGGAAGAGACTCGTTAGACCGGTAGTTTCACGTGCGTATAAAAGAGATGGTAAACAAGCAGCATCGTTATCATTTGATCATTCAATGCCATGATGATCTATTTCACCATATCATAGGCTCCGGCTGTTACAAAAGCTTTCGGTTTGTTCGCCCTATTTGAAGAGCCAAAAAAATTACTCGACTAGCGAAAGTTGGACACGTCCAAATTTAACTTACATTATTAAAAAAAAAAAAAAAAAAAAAAAAAAAAATTATACGTCCAAATTAAATATTGTATGCAGTGTACTAGTAACGATCGTTTTGTACATAGATAATAATATTATTTGTTACAGGCAGCGTGCCTTGCATTCCACTCTTGCACTGTCAACAAGTGCATGTTATGTTTGTAGGAAATCAAATGTTGTCTCAAGACGCTGTGTCACAGCACAAACAATGAAGAACAATATTCTCGAAACTGATAAGGCGTTTTTGATTACTGAGTCATAGACAGTGCGTGCTTGGGTAAAAGCTCAGAATCGTGCTATCGAAACTCGACACAAATCATCGTAATACCTTGTAATTAAATCCTTCAGAATAAAGAAGATACCTCCATACAAATGCGTTATGACATTACTCGAGCTTCCGGGGAGCGAGTACACATTTTTCCGAGTTAACGTACCACGGCATGAGAGCGTGAACTTTGAGTTTGGCGTTTGAATGAGGGATTGTAAGCACCGGAGCTTGCCTGTACCATTATTATAATACAAGACACAAACATGTACGCATTTATTCTATCCCAAGAGATCAAATCAAATTAGATAAACGCATCCCCAAGAATACTTATGGATCTGAAAAAAAAAACTCGTTTTCACTTTGTCGTAAATATACAGTAAACTGTATTGAGTTCTTGTACTCAAGTTTATGTATTCATCGGAATGGTCTTATTCCAATATTGTCATAATCCTCATGAATACGTAACTGGATTCTATGCAAAACCAATCCAATCGGTCCATTACCAAGTGGAGAAACGTAATAAATTTTGGCAGGACATCGCGTGATTGGTAATTCAAGAAGCTTTGCCTCGTATAGTTTCCTCACAAGCAAAAAGAGAAATGATCATTGCCAAAGGGAGCAAGTGGAAGAATAAGAAGAGGCGAAAAAGTCTCTTTGGAGTGAAAGACGGTCGGGCAGCAGTAGGTATATCCACGAGCAGTATATGTCGTCGTCGTGGTCGTTGAGAGAGTCGTGTTATATCTAGTTTATACGACGTACATTAGGCATGAATGGCAAGCCGCTCTGGGCGCTCGAATGAGAGCAATTTAAGCTTCTTTAGGATGCTTAATCGGGTAGGAAGTCACATCAGCCGCATAGGTGATAACCCACACAAGGCGGACTAGTTACATGTACATATAAAGTGTACTACACACCACACACGTCATGCACAAGCATCTCGATCTGCCTTTGCCTTTACCTCGGCTCGAACGAGACGCTCTCACTGTTGGACGCACTCGACGATCACGAGGATTGCCAAGAGATGAGGTACATGGGAGATGTACGGAAGACCCACAACCTCTAATCCGTACTTGCACGTGCACAATCATTGGTAAAAAATCTTACTACATTCAGTTAGGGTTGAAGAAAATATCAATGTTTGACCCGCCTTGGCTTCAAAGTAAACATATTGGGACCAGATGCGAGAGATGAGAGTCAAGAACTAGATGAATAAATCAAGAAATAGACCTACAGTACTTACTTATCAGACCACCGTAGTGTGCGTATACTAAACCTGAAGAGTATGTACCAATGGTTAACTGAAGCGTAAATAGTAATTGATAACAATACGTTGTGCGAGGATGAACGACTAGTAAGGTGGATGACTCAGTTATCTCCTGCACTAGGAAGCGAATAAAGATTTTTTTTTTTTTTCTCAACAATTCACAGTTGTGCGTCACTAGAGCAATAATTGTTTTCTAAAGTTGCTAAAGGTGGTTAATATCAAAAATATTTTTTAATTGTGGTTTGATTCGTTAGTTGTTGTATTTAAAAGTAATTCAATCAAAAGTGAAGATCCACAAAATCTAATAGAGAAGTATTTTAACCATGCATTGAAAAGGGCTTGTCTCATATTTCTTGTACTACAGATGTGATACTATATTTATTTTTAAAAAGTTGCTTTGTCTACAAAAAATAGTTTTAATTTGTTGCCTCGACAAATTTTCAGAATATTTCAATAGCAAATGGTCTCGTGTACTTATTTTATAGAGATTTCTGTGCCCAAACACCAAAATTCATATATTTTTAAAAAATACGAATGTCAACTAAAACTACCATTGTGTCAATAAAAACAATAATTAGTTAAAGTTTCTGTATTGTTTCCTTCTAAAATTTACAATAGAAACACGAGAAAAAAAAAAAAAAAAATCAAGAAGCGCCTGTACAAGTTTCACGTAACCCTTCACATAATCATCGCTAAAATTAAAAGAAACGTCATACATTGTGGTCATACGAGCGAGAAACGAGAGTCTGAGAACGACACGGTCACGAGGGATCAAACACTGAAAGGCCCGTCACGTACGCCGGGCTCACTTTATATAAATTATCGTCACGCAATACAAATGAAAACCCTAGATGCCGAGTGCGCCAGTTACAATTGCACGGCATAAACTCACGGAGATGGACAAAACAGCTGATCTCCCAAAACATTTTTTCAGGCGCAAGTTATGAAAAAAAAAAAAAAAGTACCATCCACGTATCCGTGGGTAAAACAAAAATGATGATGATGAAATTACCTGGTCGGGCATTGAGGGCCTCGGGCGCGGTCGAGTTCTTTCGGCGGAAACGCGCACACCGTTGGAACGACTTGTCGTAGTACATGACGGCGATGTAGACGATGTAGAGGAGGACGAGCGAAAGGGCCTCATACCACTCGACCCGCTCGTCGTGAATAATACAGATTAAGATGGCCACGGTCACACCGTAAGCCAGACAGTCTCTGCTCACCGGCCACCAGTCCAGCGGCACCACTTGCTTTTTTTTTCAAACAGAAACACCCAAAAATCATTTTTTTGTTTCCCCTCACGGAGCATCAAGGATTGAAGAAGCAGTTACCATTCCCGCGCCGATACCGCAGCACGCGGGGACGGCGAGGATGTTGAAAACCGCCGAGCCGACGATCGTGCCGACGCCGATGTCGCCCTCGGTGATGAAGGTGCCGATCGCGTTGACGAAGAGCTCCGGTGCCGATGTCGCCGCGGCCATGAAAGTCGCGCCTGCCACATCTTTCGACATCGACAGCGCTTCGTGGCCACGAGTAAAATAAACAAAGAAAATCCATTATTTCACTTTGTTTTTTTTTTTTTTAGGGTTTTTCAATATGTCCTCTTGCATCTAAGCTGCCAAGTGATTTCTCAAAGATACACCCGCTCAAGCATGTTATTGTACATCTCGTAAATTTGTCGAAATGGACATTACAAAAATACATTAAATCATGGGATTTTCCGTTTGTGTCAACCGTATCTTGGGATGCCCCTTTTTGGGGGGGGTTTCGATGAATCGGGGGCAAATGCAAAAAAGTACGCGTGTTTAATTGACGAGCTTTAATCTCGTGCCCCGGTTTTTGTTGTCGCGCTGTACATGCCTCTTGTTAATCGTCACACCGATCAGTGAGATAAAAAGCACCGAATTAGCGAATCAAGTATCGCCCTGCCAGTAAAAGCTACGGGCAGTGGTGACGCGTGAAAAAATCGCAATGAATGTTAAATCCTACTCGTCGAATCGGATCGTGTGAGCTCTTACCGTGGCATATTTTTTCTACGGCAGGTACGAAGAATTTGTCGCATACTACAGCTAGGGCGACGAACAGGTAAAGGGAGATGAGGACGTGGATGACTACGGCGCCGGCTTGCCGCTGCTTCTCGTCGAAGAAGTCGTGTGGAAAGTCCTCGATGGCCGGCTGCGTGCAATTAGAACCTGCAAGATGCCAACAAAAAAAAAAAAAAAAAAAACACAGGTAATTTTTCTCAATTTGTTGAGCTTATCTCAAAGGCGATTTGTACTCGATATCATTGATCGATATCCATGTAGCCGGGAATTTTCTTATCTGTCAACATTATGACGCGTGCTGCCAGCTGTGGATGAGGAAAATGCCGTGCGTGCACCTGCTTGAAACTACTATATTTATATTCCATACCTTTTTTTTTTCCATACTACATTTAGACAAAGAAAAAATAAAAAAAATTCGGGATATTCTTTAAAGCGCATCATCGAATTCGTGTACCAAAAACACGTAAAAATCCAAACCCTTGGATTTTTATAGGTACGCAAGTTACGCAGTCTAACTCTTATCAAACGAAAAAATTACGCAATCGGCATTATCCAATTTTATCAACGAAACAATAATCGCCGATAAGAAGAAGAAGAAGAAGAAGAAGCCATGGCCGCGTCAACATAATCATCGTCGACCTGCTCGGGTTTTCCGTCCGTCTAATTCTTCGTCGAGGCCACGGCTGACACTGTACCGCTCTACCAAGCCTGTCTGCATAATCCTTCATTAACACGAACCGAGAGGCAGACGAGGAGAAAAAACGACTTGCCGGAAACTGCCGAAGCATCGAAATGAGGAAACCAAAGTTCGTGTAATCTCTTTCTCTCTGTCTTCCTATAAGAAAGGAGAAATCGGTAAATTAGAGGAGAAGAAACTCGACCGCCGAATTATCTTGGCAAGAAGAGCTGGGGACCGCCACCCTCCATCGTTCATTAATCTTCTGTGCACTTCCATGGCAGTTGTGCCATTAGTTGTTTTTTTTTTTTTTTTCCCCTCGTAAGAATCGGAAAAAATAAGGAGTGGGAAAATACGCGTGGTTATCCGTGACGAACGACCAATTTTCACGATTTTTCGATCTTTTTTACGAGAGCGGGTAGTAATTCATTTTCAGTTACGAGCGGGAAAAATAAGGTCACGATTTGTTTTGTCCTTTTGGCAATGCGGTTGAGCCAAAAGGTCCCGTATTTTTTTTTTTCCTACAATCCATGAAATAATACAAATATTATGACGCCAAAGTTACGGCAAAATCGTATTTTTTAAATGATTGAAAAAAGGTAAAAATAGATGCCCATAATCAACTCGTTTGAATACCATTACGAAAAAAAAAGGAGGAAGAGATAAATCGGCTAAAGCAATCAGGACGCAATTGCGAAAAGTCAGATTAGTCGCGTGTCAGTCAACAACGATGGATACAACGTATCATGGGTGGGAAAGAAAAAAACACGCCAAGCGGCAGTTTCGTAGGATCAGTTAATGTCCGTATACATAATGGCCCGTACATATACAATCTGTTGGCACGAGTTTACACCGCTCAAAATGGGTTCGGATTAAATTTTTTACTAGTATACATATTATGGTTTAGTTTTTTTTTTTTTCATTTATTTATTTACCTTACGAGTAGACGAGTCTTTCTGGACAAAATTGAACAAGAATTTTAGTACAGGGAACAAAACAGTTAATATAAAATGTAATATCTTCGAGTTATTAGAAATACGCGGCAGACAGAAGCAAATATAGCGCAAGAAACTAATAACCGTGATATTGTACCGAGTGTCGAGATTCTATTTATTACAGATAAGATTTCGGTAGAGGTCAGACGTTTTCGGGGTAATCAGTAGTTTAACACGCGAGTTAGGAATGTTAGACAAGTATAAGCGAGACACGTAACGAATGATTTATGCACTGAGTATTGTACGAGGCGCACACGATTTGCGAATTGTTTTTCCGTGAGGTCAAAGACCTTCGCGTCCATATGTATGAGAAAATCGAGGTGTGTCCCTTGTACACCGACAAAATAAGAGAAATACACACGGATGCGAATGATGCCGACCTGCAGACCACGATGAATCAGAAAACAGATGTATTCCCGTTGTCCACGCCCGTTTGAAATTATCTCGTCCATTTCTCTCGAGACCGATTTCCATCCACCCAACCAACCGAATCAGACCCAATACCGATTTATTCCCAAATCGCGTACTTTGAAATCGTATAGCTAAAAGTGCGCATCAGAAAAAAGTAAATGAACGAGCACGCGTGTGTGCTAGTGAGAAACGGCATGAAAAGGTAATTGTCTCTCATCGTTGTTTTAGTTCCACTCCCAGAAAGTGGGCACGTTGGTGCTGCCGAACCGAGGCCAGCTCGCGATGGACGTAGGCATGTGTACACTTCATAACAACCATGATCGGTTCGACTCGGCGCATCAAGTTTGTACTATTAGGCGTAGGTACTTGTACGTTCATGTATAATGTATACATAATAGCTTTGGCAACGCGTTTTTATGCGCGTACACATGCTTACACGTAGATACAAACGTATAGGTGTACCTGATATCGTATATGGTTTCGGTGGAACGACACCGTGGTAAAATGTTGCAGTAAATCTATACAGAGACTGCAAAGTTAGAAAATCGATTGAATGTTATTTGTAATGTTTGGCTACAAATTTGCATTTCTGTTCACGCGTTCGGACGATAGATTTATCAGTGCGTAAGACTAGTGGTTCACGATGAAATTGATGTGCCCCTATACTGTTACCGTGTAATCACGAATTTTGTTAATCATTTTTTACGATAGAGATAAAGACCTCATCGTGTTTTTTTTTTTTTTTTTTTTTTTTTTTTTTTTTTTTTTTTTTTTTTTTTTTT